GTCGCTTTATTTAGTATCGGGATTCAAGCTACTCTGTTCTGTTCCTGGAGGCAATTGATGCCAGTAATTCTGCTGCCTTTAAAGGGTCGCAAAAATTGTAATGAATTAATAGGGCATGAAGAGAGTTTGAGAATAATAATTTTTTGCCAATGAACATTAAGTGGGATATTTCATGAAACGGAGTTATATCCGTTTTTACATGTAGCGTTTGCCCCTGATTTTGAGGCAACTCCTTATACACAAATGTTCTGAGGCTCACGTTCTGACGCAGACAAGGCGATTGTATAACCTTAGCAACTACAAGGCTTCGGTCACCGCTGACGTGTGCGAAACCAAGGATTTAATTAAGGCTTCGCTCACTTTTAATTCGTTATTACAAAATCTTGAGGAAAATGAGAAATCCAACATTTCTCTAATTGTTTTATTATCTGATGAAATACTAGTATTTAATTGCAAGTTCGTAAATGAAACTTCGTAGATCAGGAGTTTCTAGATTTCATTCCTGTCGGTGACTGACTTTCAATCACATCTATGTCACTGGAGCAAGGCCTACTGTATACTCTGTATGGGGTGATCTATACTCTAGACACTAGCTATTAGATACAGACTCTTGTTTAGACAGTTTATATAATCGCTTTTTTCTGTGGTTTTCTCCGATCCATTCCAGGTGGATGCCAGAGGAGAAGGTACTTTAAACAAGGGTCACGGTCCGTCCGCAATCCTTCCTTTTCCAACTCCCACTCTTAGATACTAGTGTCGGGCAGATACCTCATTTCCATGTGGTCCATCTCTCATGATTCCAAATGACTGGCTGTACTCTGAGTGCGTAGTTTGTGAGGTTATTCGTGAAGCTGGAATGAAGTTGGTGCGCCATCAGAAAGAAAGTGACGAATTCTTTCACTTGTATTTCTAATAGGTGAGCAACTTTTGGTGCCAGAAGCCAGTTTTTTTCTCGCATTCTACTAGGTAGTAAAGAGATAGTTTCGTAATGCTTGCTGCGAAAATATGCGATTTTTCGACAATTCGGGTCCCTGATACCAAAAAATGAATAGTGTTTGCTCCTACAAGTAGTAAATTACTTCCTCCGACACGTTGTGTAATCAGAATCCATATTTTATAAGTTCTTTGGTACCCAAGATGTGATTTCCGACAAAAGATCCGTCTACCTGTGAACCATCTACCTAGCGCCTAAACCATTCACAAAATTTTCGCCAAAATTTATATTATTCCATAAATTTGGCCGATGTGGAAACCTCTTGAATTTGAAGCGAATATTTTTATTTTTGCAAGTACTGTTTCATGTAGACGCAACTTTTTAATTTTTTCTCAAAAATGGCTCCGATTTTTTATTTTTTATATTTTCTTGAATAGTGTAAAGTACGCTCATAACAATGGTGGAGGTCCTATTTTCGTTGAAATCTAAAAATGAAAAGTGCAAATGTTCACTTTCTTTTTGAAGCGTTGGGATAGTTATTATGTCGCCCCAGCCTCTTGGTGTAGTGTTAGGTGAATTGCTTGCTAAATCTTAAATCTTAGTGTCTATGTTTGAACGCCAGCGTGAGCAAACATTTTTGCAGGTTGAAAGTTCAAGTATTATGTAACTGTTCAAATAATGCGAGAAAGTGTGTGCTCATTTCATACTACCACTTTTATTTGTGGAGTTTATCGTTAAAATTGTTATTCTTGGTGAATTAGATATTTTTATTTTCAGTAACTTAACTTATTTAAATAGTTTTTGTAAATAATCAATCATTGAAATAATTCTTAGTAATTATTAAAGTTTGTACATAAAAATGGACCACATCTTAAATACGGTAGTTGTCCCCCTCCCATGATGCCTGGTGAGTCAGGTGCGTCGCCGTGGCGTGTTTTGTCTACGCGCCTGGCAGACGCATCAGCGGAAGAGGAAGGAGGTGGGGAAGTGGTAAAGGGAGAGCGGGGTGAGGTCGACGCTCGCTGCTGCCGCCGCCTGGTGCCGCCTCACGCGCGACATCTGGCGGCGGTTTTGCGACGCGCGGGCAAAACAATCGCGACGCGCGCGCGCACGCGCGGTGGAGACGCGGCAAGAAGCAGCGGAGCGAGCGTGAAGCAGCGCTACAGCGCCGAGGGGGTGCTGATCGACGGGGTCGGAGCCCGACACAGAAACCGTGATGCTAGGATTGATTGATTGATTGTTTTGTGTTTCCAGCCGCGTCAACTGCTAAGGTAATTAATCCCGTTAATGTAGTCCGTGATATATCCCGGGCGGTATTCCTCCCCCGCTAAAACTTCAGATCCTACGCCAACCTACACGATGACTTGCAGGGATTTCCTCCAGGTATCTCCGCCAGAGGGGCACCGCCCCAACCAGAATAAACTAAAGTTCCCGCCTGTTCTCCCGAAATGTGTGACAGAGGATGAGAATCTGGCAAGGGCGATGAAGGAATATTGCGCACGGTCCACGGCCCATTTTAAGATACTGTTTTGGCATTCATCTGGTTTTGATGGGAGAAACCATGGAAAACTACAGACCAAAGCAGCTTGTGACGATTTTCCCCTAAATTTACACGAATACTTTTGTGCGGCTGAGAAAAAAGCGTGGGGGTTTGCGATTGGAAATGATAAACCAAAATTTGTTGTTTTTACGAAATTTAGGTTAATTCAATTCGCAATCCATCTAGGCGGCATTTTCGTCGAGCGCCACGGGCTTGGTAAGTAGAGCGGACTGGCTGCTGCACACTCCCCGTCTTAATGCAAGAACATTGTGATGCGATAATGGCTCACGAAAGTACAAATATGCATATAATTATCTATAAATAGCGAGAGGTTTGGTTATCACCAGTGGCGTAGCTAGTGTAGATGGCATCAGGGGCAAAAGATATAATGTTAATTCCCACAAATGAACAAAAATATGTTCTTAAGTATATCATCAATTTTCATATTAAAAACGAAATTATATTTATCATTCTGTTATCCATATTATTTCCAACATATAACAATTAAGATGTTTGTTTGAATATTAATAGAAAAACAATTAATAATATTTATTTCAAATAGGTGAGTTGCATCCTTTTTTCTTGATAATACTTTAATATTTCAGAAATTTTAAATTAAATAACAAAATTATAAATTTATCGTCAAAATTGACGAAGGTCCTCTGCAATCTTTAATGAAAACGTTTACATTACACAATTTTAAATTAAAATTATTTCAAGGTAACACCCCTACAATGGTGACACGTGGGTGTATCCGCTCCTTCTGCCTCCACTTTGCTGTGCCACTGGTCGTAGCGCTAACATGCCACACCTGGCCCGAGCTGTCAGTGATCATCCCAGCCGCCATCTAGAATTCATACCCTGGCAGTGACACCCAGTTAAATAGAGAAATTCCGCCTCTGTCGAACTCGAAACCAAGATTTTCCTGTCGACAAAGCTTCAGGTCAGGACTCGTCACGGCACACGCCAACGCACTCGCATAAAAGACATGAGCTTGTTTAGAAATTATTGATGTTAAAAACTTACGCCCCCTTTCTGAAAGTGGTTGCGTCGCGCCTGGTCCTCGCGGGGGCCTCTGGCGGCATGTTGTGGTCCGACCGAATAAGGGAAGGGGGGGCGTGGATTGGGGTGGAAGCGAGCAAGAGGGAAAAGGTCGCCACTAGGGGTGGGGCGGTGACATTTGGCTGAAGCGCCATTTTGCGCCCAACCGCCACCGCCGCTTCCTTCACGCGTCTTCCCGTCCAGACCGGCTTCACTTCCGCGTTTCATTCTTGCGTACTCTCTTTTATTTTTCGTGCGCTCATGCTGCTTTAATTTTCATGATTTCGAACACCTTATTGTTCTTATTGTACCGTTTAAACATCATTTTGTGCATGTTATTTATCGCATCCCTGATTTTTCGAGTTATGGAAACGTTCTGCCCCCAAAATGAATATGCGAGCTGTTTTATTTTATAAAATGGTTTAGATTTAATGCTACATAGTTCGAAACAGGTTGTAGAATTGTTAATGATTTTCGATGTGTTGTGCAATATTTTTTATGTACACTGTGGACATGTATCTTCTTCTTCACCATTGCATTTCGATGGGTTACAACAACGTTAATGGTAATGATTGAATGCTTCTGTAGGTGTATGACATATTTAGACGTTAGTACGATGATATGAGAGTTACTTCAAATAACGCGATACATTGTATGTTTAAATGTTACAATGAAAATTACTATAATTTTTCTCTGAAGTTCGGTCGTGCTTAAAACTCAATAGGAGTATTTCTTAAACACGACAGAACAATAATAACCCCAATCTCTTGTATTGATATAAGAATTAGTTTGTATTTTATTGCTTGTAGAGGAACATACAGCTGGGGGATATCTTGCTGGAGTGACCGGACGTACGTTCCGCCTGCTCCGCCCTGCCTGGCCCTGCCCCTTCTGGCGAAAATTTGTTGTCGCCCGACGGCAATGCTTTGCATTGCGTGATTCGAGTAACCCAAATTGAGGGTAACATTTTCGAGTTGCGAACCTTTTCTCGACTTCTCAGAAGCAAACCTTTTCTCGACTTCTCAGAAGTAATCGTGCAAAATTTGTTGGCAATCCCTTCAGTCGTCCAATACCTATTGTTGGGAAACAAACATACGTACATTTTGATATGTTAAGATTATATTTAATACTATTGAAGTATTCTGAAAGCCACCGTCAGAAAACGAATACCGTGCGCCACTACAGTACGTCGCTCTATGTTCATGAAACTTATTGATCTACGAGTGATGTACTAATAGCTTTGTTACTCATAAATCAACTTATCAACGAATTTATTTTCAATGATAAGCTTCTTCAGGTCGAATACTGTTCCCTGAACGTCAGATCTAAAGATGGTGGTTAATCCATTGAAAGCACCCATCATTCAATTTTTTTTCGGTAAAGACAATGTCAACTTCAATTATTACTAAAGCGCAAACGAATAACAGCGAGTAATGCATTTATTGCAATGATAAGGCTTCAAATGCTCCTTCCGACCGTAAAAGAATGTTTGCGAACGGCAAGCTGGATAAAAGAAAGAGGGCAGAAGATGCGGCGAGAGAGAAGGGCGGCGTTGGGCGTGGCTCGCGCCGCACGCGACCACGTGCCAAGAGGAAAGGGGGGAGACGCGAAAAGAACTTCGGGAGTCCCACGATTGAAGGGTTTGTCTAGGGTCTCTTGAATCCAAAAGTCGGTAATGTTCCGCATTTTACAGCCAACCTTCAGAATTCATTCGAACTCGAAATGCATGTTTTATAGTGCAAGTGGTTTGTTGGGAAATGTGTGCTCTCCTTTCTGAGAGATTATCGCAGCTCAAATGGTCAGCGAAAGTGATTAAGAAAGATGAGTAATATACATCACTAGCGCCACTGTCCCTGGTAGGGGATACCTACTAAAACAGAATTAATAATAATGATTCTGAGATCTGTGATCATGGATGACTCGAGATCCATAGTCATAAGTCCAATTATTAGGAGTGGAAAAAGTTGATTTTCCTTGTTTTGATTACCTTCTCTTGTGAGTAGTAAAGCTGGCTGTCCCGTGCTACACTTTCTGCTGTCCCGTGATGCAGATTTGTGGCAATCCGAGAAACGAAATGTAAAATATTGAATACAAATTATGACAACGAACATATTATATTTTGTTAAACCCGTCTCGCGTATTACTTGTAGTTTCCAAGCCGCTTTTACAACTATTCTCTTGTGTGGTCAACTGCGTAAAGCGAACTTTTTAATGTGCCATCCGTGCCATCGAGCCTCACTGATGCCATCAACACTAACATCACTTCACTCGCGTAACGGTTAAGGATGCGAAAAAAAAATATTTACGTTCCAAAATATCGATTTCGTCCAAATTTTAAAAATCGATGTTCAAAATATATCGACCCAAAACCATCGATATTTCTGAACATAGATGTTTGCAAATCTCTTTTAGAAACCTCTGTCATCAGTGTTTACATGCAGGGGAGGGGGGCGTTTTCATGTCACAGTGGTCATGTTTATTCATTTATAATTGAGATTTAGCTGACAAAACAAAATCAAAAAAAGTCTCATAACAATTAATAAAATGTTTATTATTTTATTGGATATTTTTCACTCTTTGTTTGACTTTATTCTAAAGAATGTTCAAATTATAGATATCTTAAAATTGTTGTATTTTTATTATATTTTTTCATTCTAAAATATCAACAAAGTAAAAACATCGGCATCAATATATCGATATTAAATAAATACGTCGATATTTTTACAAAAATATCATTTTGCAAATATCGACATCGATGTCGCATCCCTAGCACGATGGAAAGAGATGGGTGAGCTCTTGTGCATCGTTTCCGACTTCAGCCAATGAGCTTCAGGCACCAGTTTGCGTCACAGTATTAGCGGGAATTTTAAATACAGCCAGATACCAAAATTATCACATTGTTACAAGTCATTTGAACAGGTATATGAAGCCTTTGTTTTAAATATTGGATCTTGTACACCTTCATCGGGTTATTATTGATTGGTCACCGTTGAAAATTGTCACTTTAAGACGCTTTCAAAATGCATCTCAATACTTCTCGCTCGTCATGCAACGTGGCGAGCAGCGGCCAGTCTGGCTTTGCAAATGAAGTACCCTTGCTGTGGTTATGTGGTTCATGATGCAAACTGATGCTGCGCAGAACGACCACCAGTTTTCTCTTTCCACCCACGGTGGAGATATTTCTACCGATCCCTACCCTAGGATTTATTTAATGGTGCACTTGACGTAAATCATCGAATCGGAGGCTTGAACGTCTCCACAGTGACGTCACTGTAGTGACATTCAAGCTTCCGATTGGTTGAAATCGCAACAGCTGATTTACGTCAGGGGCACGACCAAATGAATCGCACTCAATAACGTGTGCTCGTTGCGTGTTTTGCAGGAGTGACCCACGGGCGCGCGCGGCGCAGCACTGCCGCCGACGAGGAGGACGGCTCCGACTACAACAACGACGAGCCGGACAACTACGAGGACGAGGGCACGGGCGAGGAGGAGGAGGAGTCCTCCCCTGCCCCGCCGCCCAACTTCTTCTCCTCCCCTGTCAACTACACCATGCGGCCCGGGGACGACGTCATGTTCCCCTGCCAGGTGGACAGCATCGGTGAGCACACCTTCGCTGTTGTGGTGTAGTGAAGATTTTATTGTAGATATAGAGTCAACCATAAGATGCTATTGGATTCTAAGTGAATTGGGAAGTTTGGATTTAATTTTGAGAGATGGTAATATGGTTCCCATGGGAAATTGAAGAAATGTTTAAAAACAGTAGAATAATTTAACTTCTCATTTGCTTAAGATAATTGTAAGGAACTGTTTGGAAAGTTTCATACAATAAGTAGATTAGTACAGGAACACAAAAATGAAACACATTTTATATAGTGGTGGGTAGCTCTAAGCATTAGCGCCAAGTACATCCATAACACAAAAATTACACCATAGCCGATCGGGGAGGAGGGCGTCTCTTCCTCAATCCAACCAGAGGAGCAAAAATGAATTTTATTATTTAAATGCCAATTCAGTAATATCCAGTTCTTTATATTAGTAGAAGATTCTCATGGAATCATTAAATTTCTTAAATTAAAGTCTGAATATATTAAGAAAACAGGAAAATATGAACTAATTACACACACAAACTCATTATTAGAATTCATCCTCAATCTGTTAGTGAATAAATCTTTTAAAATAACCCCTGACAATGTTCATGAAATATGGTCTTGCAAATGTTCATGAAAAGTTGATAAAGTTTGGACTATATTGTTTAATAATATTTAATGATTTCTTCAGGTAAAATGGTTCAGATGTGGCTGAATGGATCTCAAACCATTACTGTCAAGGATTCTATCTTGGGGGACAAAGAACGTGTTAGTAGATTTCCTAATATGACTCTTTTGATTAAAAATGTCAGGCCAGAGGACTCTGGTACATATACATGCCAGATTGTCTCCCAGCCTCTTGCCAACTTGACTCACTATTTGAAAGTACCAGGTGAGTACTGAATTTTAATTTTATTATCATAAAATTATCACGTATTTATCATTAAAATTAGTTTTCATTTAATAAATGACTTTTGCAAAAGTATTTCTGCTCAAATGGGTAGTCCTAGTTATCTTAAAACACATGACTTATTTAACAGAATTTACACATGAGGTGTGATTGTTGTTTCAATTCTCTTTAGTAATGCTTGTGGAGTAAATATTTTCAGAAATGATTACATGAAATAATTCAGAAATTTCCTTTTGAAGAATAGAATAGATTGCATTATAAAACTTAAAGGTGTTAAAACAGCACATACTTTCTTGTATTATTTGTAACTTGAATCAATGTAAAATGTAATTTGTAAAAAGAATCAGAGATTTGTGCCATTTTTATAAGCATACTTTGCACTTTTCAAGGAAAAAAGTTAAAGAAAAAATGTTGAGCCCTTTTTGACAAAATCTTGGTTTTAGAATTGCTTTCGTTATATGTTCCATTACACCCACACTACTCATATTTTTTAACACATTGTTCATTGATCTTGTTTAAATATCTGTTTTTGAAGAAAGATTTTATTACAAAACTAGGGGGTGCAATGGAATGACACAGGCTTTCTCATGCTGGTTTGTCTCGTAACTTTGTAAGGCTGAGCTTGCTTTCTCAGAATTGTCCAGCTGCTATCCATCAGTGCATGTATATAGATCTAATAAGACATTATTGCATGTTTTTCCAATTTTTCAGTCCCCTAATAGAATTGAAATGTCTTCAAGAATGTTAAAGAAGAGTAAAACCTGGATCTACATGGAAATTTCCTTATGTAGTATGAGAGCAAGCAAAAATCTGTATATTCAATATTATAATTCTGGAAAGACGTGGATGAAATTTACCCTTTGGCAACTTTTGAAAATCCAATTTGTGCCTATTTTTTAAGGGCACTTTGTTGTTTTGAAGGAAAAAAATTAAAGAAAATATTTGAATATTGAATTCTTAATATTCATTTTCAATTCTACAACTTTGTTCCAATACTCATTGATATGATGTTGCAAAACACCATCTTGCTCCAATAAGGCCCTAATTCCACTATCCAACTTATTAGTTTTGAACTTTTTATCAGTTCAGAATCAACATTCTGAAATTGATCTATCCCTTTCTCAAGCGTCGTTTGCCTGTCTGAAATGGCAGTCATTATCTCATGCTGTTTTTCCATTTTCTCCTCTTACCTAAGCTTTCTCACTAATCTTAAGGCCTAGCCCTTGATCTATATCCTGAATCATAACTTTAAATTTATGTTCCTGTGCAATCTCTTGTTGAACTTCCTCCTTAAAATTATCCTTCTATTGTTCAGCCAATTCTAAAAATTGAGTTTTTAATTTACCTTCCAAACGTTTGTTGTTTTCTTCTAATCTGCTGTCTAGTTCGGCGAATTTAGCCTCTAATCTGCTCTTATTCCCTGATAGCTTTTCTTCTAATTTACTATTATTCTGAGAATTTTTTCTTCTAGTTTACTGTGTAATTCAGAAAATTTTGCTTCTAATCTACTATTATTCTATAAAAGTATATTATCTAATTTACTATTATCTTTTGAAAGTTTCTCTACTAATTTACTACTATTCTCTGAAAGTTTTCCTTCTAGTTTGCTATCTAATTCAGAAAATTTTATTTCTAATGTGGTATTGCCTGTCGCAATCTTATTATCTAAAATCACTGCCTGCATTCACAATTTAATTTTAATCTGATTCATAAATGGCCCTGTTAAGCATGCTATTCATAAATTCAAACTCTCTCTTTTTCTACATTCTCAGATTGCGGAGAAGTCTGTTGAGATTCTGATACAGCACTAGTCTTTCTTACACCCCCACCTTCCAAAGAGCATTTATACCTGAATAGTTTCTCTATCCTCTGGTAATACCCCTTGTCCTCACTAGCGTCAAATTCCTTCCCACTATCTGCGACTGGAGTTAAATTCCTGGCAATATTATATTTCTTAGCTATTTTTGCAATAAATTCTATTTTAGAATGAATCAATCTTAATATTAACCACTGGACACAATATGCTAATTCACTCACCAAATATTTCTGAAAAACACTCTTGAGATTACAGTACAGTATCAAATCTTGAACAAATTGTTCAACAACCCTCCCAATTAGATATAAATGATTCCACAAAATATGAGTAGGTTCCACTTGTAATTCAACTTCGGTTCAACTCAATCATTATTTAATTTAAACAAATGTGTTGTAAATTTGAGTCCCTGAGGTGGGTGCAAGGTATGTGACCATCAGTTTATTATTTCAGCAGGTACATTTTGTGCAAGGATAGGTCATACAAACTTATTTCTAAATTCAGGAACGTGGGCTCTCTGCACTCTCTTTGCACCAAATTACTCAAATGAAGCTTTCAAAATATTCTATAATTTCAAATTCAATAAACAAGAAATCTACGAAATGCAATACTCAATTAACTTTCCTATTAAACACTTAAATGAAAACACACACAACATTCTTCAAAATTCCACTTGGTATTCATTTATAAAAAAATCTATGTGACCTTTAGACACAACACTTAGTCCACACAATGTGACCTTAGTTCACAAAAAAAAAAAAAAATCCAGTTCTATGTGCTCTCATTCTTCATCTCGTAAATTGAAATTACTATACTTGCACTCATCTCGCTGAGATAATGATAACATTTTCCAAGATAGAAAGTAGTGGTGCTACAGAATGGAACAGACTTTCCCTTATTAGTTTTCTAAAATTTGATAAAATTTTGAAAATATCCCAGGGTCTTAATGTGTACCCTCACAAACTAAAGGTTCATTTTAATTTGCAGCAACTTGAGTCAGGTCAAATATTTCAAGGAATATTCATTTTTGGAAAATTCCTATGTGTAGTGTAGGCATTAGTGTTGTTCAAGGATAGATGGTTGAATGGACAGTTAGGCAGTCGTTTTGAAAAGAAAGAAGAAGAAATAATTTTTTTTTCGACATTAGAGGTTCCCAAAACATAAATTGCCCTTAAAGTCTCAACATCGATTTTTCACAACAATACATGACTTTCTCTTTACTCTGTGTTAATGAACTCATACAAGAATGTTAAAATAGACGGAATGATTACTCAAAAATGCAATTTAAAATGTTAAGAAAATGTCTTATTGGCATACATTTTGTTTAACTTTGGATAGTTTTATCAAGGTCAGAAGATTTAAATATTAGAAGAAACACATTTAGAAATATAAATACTCAAACATAGTTCTATGCCTCTTTTTATTTGTAACAATTTTAAATCCAGAAAGTAATATTTCTATTTTCACCTGTTTGTGCATATTTTAATTCTGGAATAAAAGACAGTGCATGATCTCTGCCTCTTTTGTTGCAGAGTTCAGTCAGAGTAATTGGGGATTTTTGTAAATATGTAATGATTTCAGTTTGAATTTTATTTTCTGCACAGTAATAGTTTCAAATTTATTCTCATGGTTTTAATGACTCCAAACAGACATGTTGAAGAAATAGGCATGTTCAGGTTCTAATGGTGAAATGGACATGGGCCTATATAGATACTATAGAAGTGCTAACTTAATAACAGTCATGAAGTGTATTCATACTTAATAAATAGACATTGCCCTAAAAGTACAGCCCAGCAATCAGTATCAGTAACAGTTATATGTCACTCCCAAAAAGAATTAGTCTATATTAGTATTATATTTTTCTGATAATTTTTTCATAATCATAACATTTGTTTGCAGCTCCAGCAAAAATTCTGAGTCACAGTCAAAAGCAATCAGTAACCCTTGGTCAGTCTCTGACATTGACGTGTAATGTATGGGGATATCCTCAGCCTATTGTCAAGTGGACCCTCCAGGTTTGAAACAATGATTTTTATCTTACTTATTTCTTAACTATTCTTGTTATTTTAAGTCACTCTTTAAAATCGAACTATAAACTAGTGACGTTGTGACTTTTCCTAAGCCCTGTTGAAAAAAATGGATATTATTTCAAATAATTAATGTTTTTAAATCAAAAGTAAAATTTTCACACAAATTATAATTGGATGATTGCTTAAAGAGTCATTTCTGAGGACATGTTACTGTTGTTTGAAAAATGTTTTCAGTGTCTTCTGATTAACAAGGTCAGAATTTTGTTGTTTCAAGAAAAAGTTCTTTAGTACCCAGATGTCCTGGTATGGACAATAATACACTGAATCACGAGAAGATCCAAATTTAATGTCTAAATAACTTCAGTGTTCCAATTATGGTGACTGATCTAAACATTTTGAAAGGCTGCATGATACATTTTGCTTTGGAGGAAAATAAACTTAAAATCTAATAGTAATGATAAATTTAAATTCTCAATGAAATATGAGAAACTCCTTATTTCCATAGAATACTTAATTGCAAAAGAATTTTAATTTAAGAGGAAATAAACAAGTATTATAACTTGAATTGTGATTGGGGATGTTGCTTGTATTCAAGAAGAGGAAGAAGAATTACTTTAGAAGGACACTAACAAATGTTTATTTTCTTGTAATTTGATTTTTATTGATAAAAACATGTTTCCTATTTTTGGTTGAGAGAAGTCTCATAAATTATTAGATTGATAAAGTATCATTAATGAAATTTGAATTTGTGTGGATGATGGTTTTCTAATATTTTTCAAACTGTGTTTTGGCAATAATGGCAATGGAAGAATCTTTACAGGGCAGGGAAGTTCCTGATGCTACCTTCAATGAAGATGGAAGTGTTTTAACTGTAAAAAGTGTAACAAAACATCATGAAGGTCACTACAAATGTATTGCCGACAATCATGTTGGACGGCCAGTAGACGCCACAATAATAGTAAATGTTGCCAGTAAGTATTCAAGACAAATTAAACTAAGCTTGTCATTGAACTTGTTTTCTCTTTCTATTTTTCATTCAACAGTTTTAATCTTCCTCTAACTGAATGTTTGGTTGGTTATTTAAACAGTAAGAATTTAATCATATTTAATTTGATTTTTAAAACTCTTCTAGTTTATTGGACTTCAACTTTTTTTAGTCAAAATAATTTGACTTGTTTTCTTGATTTTCAGTCTTTAATTTGATTATTATTTATTAAATTTGGTTTTGCATTGTGTGTTGGTATATTTGTGTATGAAATATAGTAAATAAATTGAGGTAACTTTATATTTTTTTATTATTTAATGTCATTTTATTTTGTTTCTTCTTGTATTTCACTCTTTGTGGCATGTATGATAATGTAATTGCACCTAGAATGAACAACACAAATGGATGTATGCTTAATAAGAGGGTGTGTGTTTATTTTTAAATGTTTCTGCAGCATTTGCATGATGTTTCTGTGACACTGTTTTGTTAAATGCTTTTGCTCCTGAATCCTTGCTGTGTGTGGGATGTACTTTAGTAGAATTTGGACAGAATTTTTGAATCCAATTCTTTCTGTAGAATGGCTAGTTAGAAGACCCAACCAAAAATGAGAAGAAGGACAACAATAAAGAATAGCTTAATTAAGATTGTAATGACTAGTGGGCAGATTTTGATGATCTAAAACATTGCCAAAAATGATTAATAAAATGCTCTTAAAATGGTTTTAAAATGTCCTAAAAGCACAAAAAAAGTTATGTAAAAAATGTGATCAAAAACACCTCAGATGAACAACTCAAGCTGGATATGTTACTGATGTCATTGAGGCTTCTTCTATTCATTTAAGAGCACTCACCTGGCAAACATTTGGTTTTGGACTGTTCTTTATCAGGAAATTTCTATCTTTGTTTATCCCAAAATCAGCCGAACTGACAATGTCACTGATAGGTGTTACAGGAACCTTAGATTACATATAAAAGGTGATATTACAATTCGAGTGAAGAAATCAAATAGGCTGCTCAAGTTTTTACTGGAGAACATTTTTTGCATCTTGTAAATATTATTTGAAGCAAGTACCATTAAAATGATATTAAATCAATGAAATCAGTGAAAAATGCATTAAAAATTTCATAAAGATGTAAAAAATGAATTATTAGTTGAAGTGGGGAAAAAAAATCATATAAAAATGGGTCATTTCCTTTTGTTTTAACATAAAATTAATTTCTATACTAAACAACATTGTTCTAAAGTGAAAAGAAAAAAAAAGACATTTCATTAAAATCTGCCACCTAGTAATGACTAAACATATGCTGTTTTAAAGTAACAAAGAAAGATTCACCTGTCTGTAGTAGGCATCAGGGGTTTTATTCCAAGATGTGAAATGTATTACTACGAGATGTGAAAATGATGTTTATTTGCATCATTCTAACCACTTTAAATTCAATTTCTCATAATGAAGCAGAATTCCAAAGTGATTATGTTGCTTTGGTTTATGAGGAAAAAGGAGTATGCTAGTTTGAGTGAGTATTTGCTGCAAATAGGTTCTACAATCCCTTGTAACTGGGCTACTATTATTCCAAACTGCAATTAAAATATGAATTACTTAGCAATATTGTTCATATTCATGTTTTCCCTAACCCTGATAAATGAAACAATGTAATTGCCTTGTGAGACTGAAAGGGAGACTAACCCTGTGGAAGATTCTTCTTCGATAATTCTTACATTTTTATCATATCTTTTCCTCCAATCTTCTTTACAATATGAATAATATTCACTTGATATTACTTTATTCCAGACAGACCACAAGTGACTGCTCAAAAGAGTAAGATAAATAGTGGGGAAGGAGAGACTGTTGATCTTGCATGCACTGTGTCAGGACAACCAAAACCAATGCTGAAATGGTACAAGGATGGGCAAGAAATGGAAATAGGAACATCGCGTTTTGAGGTTTCTGCAAATAACAACACCTATATACTCCGTATTAAAAACCTGGAGAAATCAGATTTTGGAACGTATTCTTGCGTTGCCAAAAATAAACACGGCATTAGACAGAAAAACATTACACTTACAGGTGATTTTTTCAGTATTTTGTTTGTCTTTTTATTAGAAAAAACACATTTCTTGAAAATATTGTCAACAATACATTTATGTTATATATGCTAATTAAATTATACTAATTAAATTATATATTAGGCAGGGATGGTTTTTTTTTCCTTTGCATGTCCTATTTACTGTATATTTCCCAGTATAATGCACACTAAAATCAGTGATATTAAAAGTGAAAAAGAAATGAAACATTCAACATACTTCAAAAAGCAAAAGATATAGAAAGTGGAAATAGTTATAAATGAATAGCATAAATATTTTAGTATACCTTAACAAGTTTTAAAGTTTTCCATTTTATTAGCTCTCATCTTTTTAAATCATCTCACCAAATTCTTATTCTTTTAGGAAACTAGTAGTTACTTAAGAATAACAATGGACACTACAACGTTACTGTGAGAATTGTTAAGAGAAAAGACTATTCTTGTAAGAAGTCAGAAGGAAGTTTGCTTTTGGTAGCTCATCATGGAGAGAAATAACAATGGTATTCATGAAGTAAACATCAATCTGTTTCAAAAAAAAATCTTACAAGTCAAAAAATATGGTAATTAGCAAGCTAGTCTTACCTGCATTTGGTGTAGCAGAATCAAATGTTTAGAGACCCTTCAACCTAAAATGCCATCTTCAGATAACTTGTTCATTTCCCGTCTAATCAAAGGGACTAACGTGGATCGGATATAAGAATGTAATAAAGCAATTTCAATATCAAGGAAAAGTAGCATACCACTTAAAAATTAACCTAAAAACTGGAATTTTGGATTTTTTCCAAATTTTCAACTGTAATATTTCATGTGGGGGACCAATTAAAGTTTTAAATTCACAGAAGTAAAAGATTACTGTGATAGCAAACTCCAGTATACCAATTAAGTAGGTTTCAAAATATTGTATTTCATTCCTTCTTTAAAAAATTACTCTCTAAAAGTCAAAATTTGTTCATTTGTTTTCAATAGTTTTTGTTGCAAATATTACCTAAATACAAATGTTATATATGTCAATTTGCTTTAATTTGCAGGCCAAAATTTTCTAAATTCCAATTGCAATTTAGGTTAATAAGCTTCTATAACCTACTTATAAGTAATTTACAAAAGATGGTCGAACAGCCAATTTATTTCATTCTGAAATGCTTCAAATGGAATGACACAGTTGTATCATATACCATCACTATGCAACGAATTTGAACATACCTACCAATGAGTTCTTTTACCATGCTCTTTTATCAATCAAAAATAACCTGCTAATGTTAAAATTATATTGCTTGCTAAAAAAAACTACTTTTCAGCATTATACAAACATATTTGTAAACAAAGTAACTTTCCCTTCTAAGAGATAATAATGCTGATTGACCTCATAACTCCACTTGAAGAAGTGAGTGCAAAGCAGGTGCCTATCTGAAATACTGATGGTGAAAATCAATAAGTCACTGTTGAGTTAAACTACGGCAGATAGTAAGAAGTTGTTGCCTTATATCATTGAGCTAGGAAGAATAATTTCCCTGTGCTTATATCACTCTGAAATAGAGAAAAGTCCTTTCAGAAAATTTTGTGATTGATGTTATCATAAAATGTAGAAAAGAGTCTGGAGGATAATGATGATCGATGTATGTTCAAGACCATATGGATCCTAAAGCTTAGTGCATTACTCAAATTGCCATCCTTGTTAGGTTTTGATTTGGTGAGAAGGGAGAAGGGTAAACTAATTATTCTGTATGAATTGGCATGAGGAAGGAATATCTCCATATTCCTTCCAGAGAAGGATGGTAACTAGCTGATTTCAGAAACATTTTAAAGATGTGAAAGGATAGAGCAAGTTGAGGTTCTTGCTCAGTTAGTATTAGTGGTATGAAAGGAGATTCTGAGGGATCCAGATACCAGCATTTTTAAGACTTGCTCCATTAGCAATGCTTTAATGTCATTAGCTTCAGGTGAAATATGTCTGCATATAATTTAATATTGTCTGCAGTTTAGATTCCAGTGAGGGGATTATTAGATGATACCACAAATACCATTGTTCATTATCAGCGAGAACAATACATGGGAATGATCATGACAGCTTGAGAATATACATGTTCTGTTGTTGCAAATTTAATAAATATAAGAATAAGAGAGTATCAATTATTGCTATGATGTATATTTGAAAACGAGGTAGTGATTGAGAATGGTCACTATGTGTGTGGATATGAATTGCAACTTATATGCAAATATACTATTATTAATGCTATTTAGCAAACTATAATTGGATAAAAGGTATTGGATAAAGGTGCCTTGTATTTGGAAATATACAGTAATATTAATTTTTTTGCCATTTTTGTGCATTTAATTCTTTCCATTCAGCATTCTCCATTTCTCCTTATTTTTTGTATTTTTTAAATGTAATGCAAGTTGATCATAAAACAGCCTTTATTTCAGGAATGGATGTTAAAAGAATAATGTATAAAATTTAAAAGATTTATTCTTTTAGTAATAATACAGCCCTCAGATGGTCAGTGCTTTAGATTGGGGATACTCAAATTCAAGGACAGGGGGTCAGACTGCCCACAGTGGCTTGCTGCAGTGGCCCACATTCCACGGTCACTAGACTAGAGCTGATTGGGCCTGAGCGTGTCCCATCCCCTCCCTTCCCCTTTGACTTACAAGCTGTGGGCCATCAGATAAGCACTGGGTCAGGATATGTTAAGTGACCACCCATTTGAGCAGACCTACTTTAGATAATGTATTCCAATAGTGCTCAAGCTTCACTTGAAACATGGGCAATAATTAGTGCAATTATTTCGATACAGTTTTGTGCGACTCATTCTTTGTTGTATATCTTACAAGTCTCTAACTCACATCATATTACAGTAGATGTATTCCAACTGTGAAGGGCAAATATCAATGTACAGTGGGAGAACTACAGATTGAATGTTTTATGCCAACTGTAGGATGAACATAAAGAGGCAATTACATAACATGTTTAGTGTGCATGTAGATGATAGTATATCTAAATCATATTTAAAAATATTTCATGGCAATAGTACAGATTTTATGGTAGTGCACATGTAATGCTTGTTGTTAGCACATGTTCACAATGAAAGACCTTAAATAACACTGCAAAAATTGTCTGCTTTAATCAAGGGATGATTTACAGCCTATGAACTTTTGTACCTACATAGAATTTCACTCCTTGTGCATGATTAAAAGTATTGATTTATTGCAAATTGCAGTTTTGTATGTTTTGGACATTTTCTTGATGATCTTTCCCTGAAGTAGTAAATCTTCATTATATTTTCAATAATAACCTTTAATTCATTCATTATATTTTGTAAACATTCATTATATTTTTAATAGTAACCTTTTATTCATATCTCTGTATTATAAATGTTTTTCGGAAAAGTTGGTTAAAAATTGTCTGCTTGAGAGTAAATAATTTGAAATAATTAATAAATTGAGAATAAATAATTTTAAGTTTAGTTTCCCATGTTAATACTTTGTAAATAAAATGTATTTAAAAAAATATTTTGCAGTGAATGCTACATGCATTTCATGAGCAAATGTATTTTTCCTGTACACATTCTCATGTACTTCTCATGTAGAGTGCTTTGAAATAGTTAATTGTAATTATCTATTGGCCCTGTGTTTTCTTGGCAAGTAAAATAATCATTTGGATTGTACCTTAACGTTTCTGAAAGCTACCGTGCCATTAATTGTTTTGAATATTTAATAATTTGCTGAAAAGTATTTATTCCATTGGCATGTAAGGTAGCTTTTCTTTATAAGTTTAATGTCACCCAGTGCTGGACACTGAGCATTACTCACAAATAATGTTTTTTATTGAATATCTTGAAGTAAAGTTTACTGGTAGGTGGCAGGTTGATAGTAAACAAAAAATTGAAGATTATAATGGAATTTGTTATTCTCTAGAAAAATCAGAACTTTTATTTCCCTGTGGGGGAATAAATTACGCCATTGAAATAAGAAATTATCTTAACTAGAAAAGAAAAATTATTATTGGTTAACTAGAAATGAAAAAGGGAAGGGGAAAGAAAAAAAAGTGACAAGGTCTAATTGGATTATTTGCTATGGGGAAAGAAAAGAGTTTCTGTAGAATCTCTTCAAGTGCTCATACTATAAAATTACAACACCTACTCTTGAACTATAATATCCAGACGAATCTGTTCAGGGGGGCTGCTTAAAAATGGGAATTTTTTCAAGTTTCTTATGGAACAATTAATCAGTTCCACAAAAACAATGACCTTTGTTGGATGTGACTGTTTAATCAAGGTACTCAATGGAATAGGTTTCACTGTATCTATTGACAGAAATCTCATTGTTTTGTTAGGTGAATGAATACTTACCAAATTTTACATTGATATGAAATCACAAACAACATTCTAGAAGAATTGCATGTTGTATTTTCTTTTATAATACCTAATTTACTTTTACTATTTAGTATAATACACTTAGTAGTTTGTTGTTATTCCTTAAGCATTTTAGAGAAATCAAACTAAGTAGAAAATATTTCCATGAGGTGGTAGTAGTATGGTTGAGAAATCATTTTCATCTTTTAGATTATCAGGCAAAAACATAATCAGTTAAAAGTAGTATTACCTAATGGAAACTAATTTTAACAAAATATTTCCATGAAAAGTAATATTTACTGCTCACAACTATAATTATCTATTTCGGGGGGGAAATATTGAACTAATGTTATTTCTTTTTAAAAAATAGTTGAAACCAGTTTTGACTGACTTGGGTCTCTTTAAGAGGTTTTAACAGAAATGAAAACATTCTTCCTAAAAACAAAAATAATTTTTCACAAAAGAGCTGTGTTAAAATTTGTTTTCATTAGGCTGTACTAGTTTAACTGATTTTATTTTTTCTGATAACATATGAATTAGTGTTGTATTAAATCAGGAATTAAGAAAACATTTGTCTTTAGTTGTTTGTTCAAAAATACTACTACTAGGTAATAACAATTTTATTAATTTTTTTTTCTTCTCTTCAGGAATATATGCATTGACTTTTTTTTAATTATTACTTTTCTTCTTTTTAATTTTCATATAAATTGAAAGAAATTTCATTTATATTCTCTCATTTTAAATTCAACATTTTTTTTAGAATTTCTTATTGGTAAGGTATCCTTCAATATTCATAAAAAATGCTGATCTTCTGTGTTTCCTATTTTCCAGGTTTTCCAGATATTCCCAAATACCGTGGATCTGAAGTTGAAGATGACAAAGTCATTCTGAAATGGGATGTTGAAAGTTCTGTTCCCATTGAGAAACATGAATTGCGCTACAGGAAGCAAGGGGTAAAGTTCATCTTATCCAAACTTTGATGCTGAGTATTAATAATCATATTTTTTGTAGATTGAAAATGCCAATGCATAGAAAATATGGTAATCATTTCTGTGAATGTAAGAGATACCTTTATCAAAATTTATGCAAAAAATATGTAGAGGCAAAATATTTTGCCACTGCAGCTTCTCTGGAGGTTCTGGGGTTTGAGTCTCAATGATGACAGATTTCCAACACAAGCTACATAGTTAGGTCAAATTCAACCGGTATCTGGAGAAAAATTGTGGTGGCTGGCTTGCTCTGATCAGTAATTTTCTGTAGTTTCTCCTAGTACCAGGCAAATGCCAAATCAATAATACCGTCACAAATGGGCCATGTACTGCAAGCAATATCTCCTTCCTCATCTTTGCTCACACACACAAACATAGACACACACACACAGACAGGGAGTGCATATTGACGCGAGATGCCGCTTGTATGAGCACCTGCGGCAATGTCTCCGAGAAAGCATCTCGTATGGCATCCGCATTGGCACGGCATTTATGCTTAATGTAGGGGGTCCTGGGGCAAAGAAGCCGGAGGCTGCTGACTAGCGTAGTAAAATTCCATTCTACTCACGCAGCCCCTGTTTGGGGCTGATGCCATGGGCATATCAGTCTCGCCCGTGGGGCCTAAGTCGTGCAATAGAAGAAGGTCGCCTTGCGGGGTTGCTGCGGCAAGTTTCGACACGCGTATCCTATGATGCCTGTGTGTGTGTGTTAGCAGATATGCCTCCGATCGCCGCATTGCGCAGAAGAGAGCTACTCTATTTGCGCAAAGCGGGAGGGGCCTCAAACTGGAAATCATTACGAAAGAAGTAGAGAGGGGTGACAATGGACCAATGGCAACGCCGATGGGAGCAATCATCAAGGGCGATGGACCATTTCGAGTCATTCCCGACAGCATTGACGTGGATTCAAAGGGACTGGACGAATTAGATTTTTATCTAACTCAGATGCTGACAGGGCATGGATGTTACCGGCAGGTATCACTTCGATTCCGGCTGGACGATAGCCTATGCATGCCCAAGGTGTTTCCCGTGATTGAAGATGTTCGAAACCACTGTCTTTCATTGTCCACGCTTCCAGTGGAAAGGGAAGACTTCACAGCACTCCTCCAACGAGGAAGTGACCCCTGAAACCATTCGTCACTAGGATGCTGCTGCAACAAGAGAATTGGAGTGCGGTACACCTATGGCCGCAAAGGTCCTGAAGACGCTCCGCTCACGAGGAGCAGTTTACGAAGAAGACTCCCGTAATATTTCGGTGACGTGCGAAAAGCCCCATCTTCCTTCTCGCGAGTGCCAATGCTGACGGCGGTCCGCGGAAAGGAATAGGAGGAAAGGGAGGGGTTTTTAGTGGTAAGGCATAGGCTAGCTATGAATCCCACACGCAGCGGGTTGCGGGCCCCGCTGTGCTTTAGAGATTTTCCCCTGCCCACCGTAAAAAAAAACACACACAGACAGACACACACAGACAGACACACACACACACACAGACAGACACACACACACAGGACAGACACACACACACACAGACAGAACACACACACACAGACAGACATACACACACAGACAGACACATACACACACGACAGACACATCAACAGACCCACCCACGACACCACACACACATAGACACCCAACACACAAGAACACACACAACAGCAACACACACAGACAGCCCAACACACACAAACACACACGACAGCACAAAACAACACAACGACACACACACACACACACACAGACAGACACAACACACAGACAGACAGACACACACAGACAGACACACACACACACACACAGACAGACACACACACACAGACAGACACACTGACAGACAGACACACACTCAGAGACAGGCAGATAGACAGACACACACTGGTAATTACACTTACATGCTCTACACACAACATATGTTGGGAGACCAAATGGAAACTCTTGATTGGGGCAGTGCTGCCCTGAAGAGGAAAACCACATAAGCCAATGTGTAGGTTGGAGTCAAATCTCATGTTCCAGCAGGAGAGAAACACTGCCACCTCTTGGGATGCACTATACTTATAGGGCTACTAACTACATCAGTTGACATGCCCTAGAATACAAATTAATTAATTCATTAATCAATCATTCAATCAATAAAAATTCCAATTGTCATATTTGTAATTTTGCCTTTTTAATATTTTCTTTATATTGTAAGAAGTATCTAAGTAGTTTTTTTTATTATTACATATTCCAAATATGATTAGCACCAATTTTGGCTAATACTACTATCTGCTTCTATATATATAAATAATAAATGCATAAAAACATTGAAATCCTAATATGTTATATTATGTAATAGTTTGTAAATTGATAAATTTTTTTCTCTTATTATTAGAGTGTATTTAAATATTTGTTATTTGTGACTGAAAACATTTCTTGTCCAAATCATACAGTGATATTCAGTTGTTTTCAAATGCTTGTAATTTGTCTTCAGGTTGAGGATTGGGAGGTTGCCAACCCTATGGTGAAAGATCCTCAAGGAAACATTTACAGTGTAGAATATGCTCTTGAAAATCTTTCAGCTGGAAATTATGAAGTAGTTTTCCGTTCTAAGAATGAATATGGATGGGGAGAGCAGTCTGAGCTGGAGCATTTTAAACAAAGTAAGCATCCTGGGAGTAATAGATTTTTTTTGCAGTCGTAATGTACATTCTGTGTAAATAAGTGGAAAAAGATTTTGAATTATTAATATTTTTCATTTCTGTATAATTGTATATTCTGGGTTGGTCGGACAATAGTGAAATTGTGCGTTGTAGTTTTAGCAAGTATGTTGCAAAATGAACAAAGTTGGTATCTTTGAAGATAGGGTTAGTGTAACTATAAAATTATTTTATTTTTTACTGATACATTATTGCTTGTTATTGCCTTTGATTCAGAGCTATATACATTGCATAACTTATGTGGTTCATGGAGAGGGCCATGGTTATGAGAGAAAGGTGAAAACAGTTAAATGGTGATACATGTTCTCTTTCAAAGAGAATTATGAGAGGGAAATATGAAAAGACAAACTGAATCAAGTTAATGTCTAGTTAATTATGTAAATAAATAAATCTGAATCAATACTATTTGGTTAAAAAATAAAATCATGTATGTACCACAGACGTTGACTCATTGAGCCCAAAGGCACTGGGCTTTTTGTTGTCGCTCGATCATTAGTTCTAACGGTCTGCGTGAATATAGAACTTCTACAAAATTCTTGAAATAAAAAAAAATGTGATAATTTATTATTCCTTCTTTTATGCATTAAGTCCCCTTCAGTGCATGATTGTTAAATAAATGTTACTGGTTTTCACTTTTATTCTTATAAGTTTGTAAATACAGAGTTAATTTGCTCCTGATGATACATTCTCCAAAATAAGTGTTAAATAATGTAAAAGATTTGAGCATGTGTTAATAAAATTATATTTTCCGTATATTTTTGAATATAAGGCACACCTTGTATCAAAATAATGGCTTCTAAAAATTGGAATGTGCTGTATCTTGGCATGTAATATGAACATTTTGAAATTTATGAGCTATAAGTGATGTAAGTATTTATGCTTTTTTTTTCAATGCTCCACCTATTTATGTACCAATCTATGCTACTCCATACCAAAAGATAATGTAGGTAAATGTCTAGTAACTGTTGCACATTTCATTGTAAATGAGTTAATTTCAGTTATAAATTATTTCAGTTATTTTTCCAGTCATCTACCTGACTGCTGACAAGTATACTCATCTCGGATACCTATTATGTTTAACAATACATTCTTGGTGAAGACAAACACCAAAGAATTTTTGAAAATGGATGTCAGAACATTGAAACTTCTTAGTGCCTTAAATTTTGGTTTGAGATCTGCTCATAAGTTATATCGCTTTCTAAATATTGGCTTTGAAGATTTGCTTAGAATTCAAAAAAAATTTTTTTTTATATTCAGAAATATATGGTATTCAAGATTCCTGATTCTTTGAAATGTTACAATGCTAAATTGTCACTATTTGCATGTTTCTTTGTTTGTTTTTCCCCCTATTTTGCCCTCATTTTCTTTTTGTTTTCTACAGGTGAAAAACTTAATAATCATGAGGAAGAATCACCAAGCATAGGTATGATTTTAATTTGTGTTTTTTTATTTCCATATTTTTACACTGTGTTTACATAGCATGCTTACTTATGTACCAATTTTTGCTTGAAACCTTTTTAATTTACTATATTTTGTTCATTTATTTTATTTAGAAGAGAAACCTGCTGCTGAGACAAGCAAAAGAGGTATGTTTGATATGATTTTTAATAGAATGCTTTCTGCAATATTAAACTTGCATGTACCGCTAGAATAATATTGAGTTCATCACTTTCTTAATCAAGCCCTAACTAAATCAGTCATCTTTCATTTCATAATAATTGAGTTCCCTTATGAAAAAATATTGTACACAGAGTGAAGCAGAATCTGGAGGTTTGATGTTTTTGGTCTGGAAAGATAGGAAAAAGATAGGTCACTATTTCAGAAGTGCATTTGTTTCTTAACCAAAGAAAAAGAATGTTCTTGGTTCATGCAGATGCATGGTTGAATTCAATTGAATAAAACCTCTGTTACATCTAATTTTAAATTCAATGCCATATAAAGCTTCACTTTTTATAGTGAAACGGGCTTTTACTCTTGCAAAAAGCTATTAGTACACATCATTTTTCAACCTATAAACCATACTTTATATTTTATTATTAATCTTAATTTTTTTAAATCAAACACCCATAATTTTTTCCGCACCACCAACAGACATTGTTACAAACTGGACATCTTGTCTCCGACCTTCCGCCATTTAAATGATGCAACCCAACAAAACCTTTTAGTCAATGAAAGTACATATTCGCTAACTATTAATACTAAAGAACTGTAATTGTAGTACTGATTCCAATGCCTACAATAACAATATTTATTAGTTTTTACTAAATTTTACATAGAACCGTTTTACATTTAGTTTTCCTTGACATGTTTCATTGCAAGAAAATATTTTTTGAATAGAGTAGCTTCTAAGTTATCACTGTTGGCTTTGTAGTCTGCCAGTTTGAGATTCTATATAAATTACCTATTGGCAATGTGATGAAACAAATATTCATGAATTCAAGTTCTCATTTAATTCCTTTGTTCCTAAACATATATTTTGGTATTAAATCATGAGATTTATGAACAATTGTACAATGACAATCAAATTAACACTAGTCAGCTCTTATTAATTATTAGTGTATGGATGTTTATGTGTATATTTGATAGTCCCAAGGAGTGCTGCATCTGCTCCTTCTTCAGTCCCCTCTAAAATGAAATTAACTTTTGTAGTATTTCAATAATTTTAAAATTGATCATATGTAAAAATAATTCAAATCACTTTTAATGTAATTCAATGTGTCAATTATTATTTTTCTTATTTTCCCTAATTTTGAATGTTCGGTAAAATATTTGTCATCCAAAGGAAAAGGGTGTTCCACTCTAAGAAAATGTCCGTAATTGGCTTCTGAATTTCCTTAGTTGCCGCTGATCAAATGAATGAAATGTGAATGACAAATCTTTTCAGTTACTTTATATCGTGGTAGATGAATGTGCTAACCTCAGTTTTAACTCTCATACTTCAATGTTGATTAATAATTTATATTAATTAATCTTCCTGAAAGATTTATATGTACAGGAATATAAAGTTGCTAATATAATCATGTTGTGTAGTTTTATGGAGACAGAAAAATATAATTTTGTAATGTCTACTAGTATTAGTATATTTCTAATACCTACAGTAATCATTATTTGCAGATAATAATCTATTTATTCTATAAATTTAAAAAATTTTGGAGATTACCCAGAAGGAATATGTAGATGCAATATTAGAAGAGCTTTGTTTGCTTTCCTGGAATCGTAATGTTCAGTAAAATAAATTTTACCTATCACCATGTGGAGTACCTGCCAAAGGTTCCTCTCCCAGAGATCTTAAAACAGATGAATTAAGAGGAAGGGTTAGCTAGAGAATATTTTTGAAGTTGTCGAAATATCTTGCATTGAATAGAAGTGAGTGTGCACAAAATTTGAGCAAATATGAATAATTTAAATATGTATTATAACAGAAAATACGAATCAAAAGGAAAATATATAATAGTAACATATAGTACTATTATATTACAAAATATATATTAAGTATATATTACAAGTAAAAGGGCAACAAATCTAAACCTTCAATGTTCACGATGATCAAATTTGTATGAACATTTAATCAAATAATTTTTTTTAGTCGTAACTTATAAAATATATTGACAATGACACAATACAATGTACTAGGTGTAGTGACATCTACATTAACTGTCATGTAAATGAATTTTTCTTGTTGTTTCATTTTTGCTAAAACATAAAAAAGGTACAATAATAATGGTATTTTTTGTGACTAATGTTAACATTAATTTTTGAATGGCCTTTTTTGAAATTTACTCTGCTTCACCCAGGAACTTTCCTTTGTATTTCATTTCTCTGAAGTGAAGTAGTTTTTAAAAATTGACTAGCAAAATATCCGGGATTGCCCGGGTTTTTTCATATTCAAGTCTTGTGAAAAAGAAAATGTCTCCACGTCTTGGTCTATCTGTGTCTTTCTGTCTGCCTCTATCTCTGTATATACTGTACATATAAAAGAAAGAACCTGGCAGACATTGTTCTGCCCTTCATATCTCTCTCTCTCTCTTTCTTCTATAGATATATAGCATGAACTGGCTTAACATTTAATGGCAAAATTCCCTTTCCACACATGCACCTGCCAGATCTATAGATAAAGAATAAAGTACTTTCGATTAAAAAGTATACTTATATTTTTACAATTGCGTAAAATAAACAAAATAGAGAAATTGCTCCAGAGGTTATTAGAGTAAATCTCTGTTCAGGGATTGATTTTAATACTCGAAGTTTCTGGGTCAAATGTAAAGAGCCCGAAGTCTCTGGGACATATCTGAAGAGGTGGCAACTCTATTAACCATCTCTTTTTCCAAGAAGCAAATTATACGAGCTGTGCAGTTGTGGCATGAAGCATGATGATGCATGTTATTGCGATTTGTTATTGTAGCAAGTGGAATATTTTTTCTTACCTTTTTTGTAAATACAGCTTTTGTAAATTAGCTTATGAAACAAATTTTGAAATCCTAAAATTGTGGTTGCAAGGATAAAAATTTCAAAATGTTTTGTCATAAAATGCTCTAATATTGTATTTCATTAATATAAATAGTTGTAAAGTGAAAAAAATTAGAATAAAAATAAAAAGTTAGAAGTGTTGATTTCCTTCCAATAAATGCTAATGATCTTCAACATTGAAGATCTCTAAGATAAACCCAAAAAAATCATTGTTAGCAATAAGCACATTCCTCAAAGTGTTAAATAGATATTTTTTAACTTTAAATTAATTCTAAAATGAATGGAAATTTTATTTCAAATTGTAAAGTATTTTCTTTTTCAAAATTTTTAAATTTATTTTTTATAGTAAAACCTACTGCTCTCAGCTCTCTCAGCTTGGCTGTATGTGAGATGCTGCACCTCCAGATTACCTATCTAACAAGATGAGCTTTTGTCTAAAGTGGATTATAATAAAGTGGGACTTTTCAGATCTTATTTTAAAAAAATTTTGCCTACAGGACCAGATGGCAGTGCTTCCTCTATCTGCACTCTGTCATCGTTGACTTCAGCATTCTTGGCGATATCTGTTTTTAGAACATTATATATCCATTTGTAGTTTAATTACAGGTATGTAGATAAGAATAACTTAGTATCTCTTTTTAATTATTTTACTAAATGTGTAAAAGGATTTTTTATGATGTCAGTGTATTTGTAATTTCTGTTATAAAATGAATTGCAAGTTGATGATATTATGAAACTCTTTAAGAATCTTCATCATTCTAATTAATTTTTATGACTTTTGTGAATGTTATTATATAAAATAATTAGGGATCATTGTCATTTAAATGGTGAGCAAACGAGGCTCTATGAGATTTTTCTAGGCACTGTTAATTTAAAAATTTTAATGTAGTAATAATTATGTAATATTAAAATAAATCCATGACTTGGCATGTTTCAGATTACAAATGAATATCAGCTTACTCCTAGAGTTAGCTGAAGGAGAGATAAAAATTGAAGGCCCTCATGGCAGCTGTTACAGGAGATGAATTGATAATGAAGGATGTATTAAATACTTCAACATGCCATAAACTCAATCAATCCAGTGAAGTGTTGCAGATTTCATGTATCTTACTGTTTATTATGAATGTCTATGCTTTCCTTCAAAGAACATATTTCAGAATTCTATTATTTTATTAAATGGACATAATCTTCAAGAGAAAGAGAAAAAAGAAAGTGTGAGAGAAAAAAATTTGTATTAGATAAATATTGATTGTTTACAAGAAAAACAGGTTTAAAACTCTTTCCTTGTCACTGCAGTCTCCTGCATCTGTTGATGTATTTGTGTCACAGCTGTTTTGCTTCAAATGGAGCATTTCCAGTCTATTAGATGGTGCCTTCATTCAACACATCATTGTGACTTTTATCACCAAAATTTATCAGTCAAAAGTTTTTCCCACTGCTACTTATTAGAATACTTCTCACAACAGTGAACATTTCATATCCAAAAGTCCATTTGCAAGAATTGTGGTTGGCATCCTGCCTTTTGTGTAAACCAAAGTATTTTCTCCAGGAGAAAGAGTTCCATGTTGATAAGTCCTGGGGTATAGCTGTTTATAGTCCACCAAGTGTATAAAAAATTCTATATTCTAGTTTGTTGCAATAAATAAAAATGTCTACTTAGCCATAATGTTTGAGAGCCTTCATCGTAAATTGCATTGTAAAAAGTGTTATTTAAATGTCTTCTGCTCCATGCCTATATACTTTCCCTTTATAGTTTTAGCTTGTTTACAAAATGCTTTAGAAAGTGCTATAGATAATGTAAACCAGTATGATTGTAGACAAAAATATGTGATTGTATCTAAATAGCCATTATTGACCATGAATTCATTTTGAAATCATAAATTAAGTTTAAAATTTAATAAAAAGACAATGGGAAATAAATTATTTATGTTATTTTCATTATTACTTATTGAGCTCATTCAAGTCAATGATCGGAATGTTCAAGGCAAAAATGTACCTTCTAATAAAAATGTTCTTATGGTTTGATTTAAAACAATTCTATTTTCTGGCTGCAAATTATTATCATGAATTTGTGAGTAATGTTTATTGATCAATTAAATGATAATGATCTAAAATATTTATAACAATATTTCTTACTCATATTGGAGTGTTCAATTTTGTTACATATTTTTATCTACATATCATAATCATTAACACCTATAATTAGAATATTTTTATAAGCTATTTAAAACATCTGGTCACATAATGCCTAAATAGTGTGATAAGAAGTATGAAAATGGTGAGCAGTGAACGCTGCATATCCATGGATAAGCACAAACATACAGGTGTATTAAATGTGTACATATGTGTCAGTTTTCTAGGAGAGATTCCAAACAAAATATCAATGTAATGTGTGAATGTATTATGATTGTACATTATATTATAATTAAAATTATTTATAATTTCAGCTCATTATTTCTATCAGACCATAGAGGAACATATTGTTATCTTTTCTTTAAGTATGAAGTCAAATCACATTACAACAGAGACCCATTTTGGAATGTCATTGGTGCTAATGTGTAAATGTATGGAAGTTTAATGAAACATATCCTTTACATGAAATATATTTTAAACACAAAAAGTTCTATTGTCAATTAGATATCAATTTGTTGAAAGTTAATTTTTTTTTGAATTTAATAATAACATTGTTGTTTAATAATTTAGCATTCCTTGATGTAGATTGCTGCATTTTCACACCACCATACTTTTGTTTAGATACAATACTAAGGACCTTTTTTATGTTTGTTGCTGTGTTTCTTTACATTTGCGAGTGAATGTTCAGTTCATTGAGCAATTTTGTATGTATGTAAGTGGTCTACTTCCGACTACATTGTGTGATAGAAATATAAATGTACTATAGACATTATAAAAACTTTTAATTAAACATGTGGCAAACCTTCCTCATCCATTACATTAATTTTCAGCAGAATATGAGTCAGTAAAAAAGTAGTAAAAAAGAAATCAAATTCAAAATACATTTAAGGTATATAATGATTTTTAGTTAATTGGTTTGAAAATAATATGGAAGAGAATGTCCTAATAATTCTTTATCATAGGGTTCAAGAAAACTATTATACTTCTATCAGTCGCGGCTCGTAGTTTTCCAAATGGGGAAGGCTGCAAATGTATTGCATTAATGCATTGTATTGTATTCTGTACATAATCTCTTCCGATATGGGCATGAGGGAGTCGTGCTCCTACTGTGTTCTCTCGATAGAGAGAACTAGTTGGTGCTCAATCCTTCTTGCTGAGCTGTATAGTAATGCTATCTACTGAGCACGCCCTTCTTCAACCCTACACCCTTCCTTGAAGGCTGTCTGGCTGCAGCCTTCGTCCACCAGTCGCCTGTCTTTCCTGTCAACAGCTTCAAAGCATTATGGACGGCCATTATCGAACTGACAGAAACATGATGATTGTTACATGATGTAACTTAGAAATTCATTATTAATAAATACAATTACAGAAAACAATTTAATTTCTTTTGGGTGGCGATTGCTATGGGAGAAGCTCTAAGTAACAGCCTTTAATGACTAGCTGCGACTGACTAATATCAACTAGAAAGATGAGATAATTTAATTTGTCACAAATGATAATATTTTACTTATGTTTTAAATTCAGTCTTATGTTGACTGAGCCTATGAGCTAACGTATGATATTTTGGCAGCCTTCCAGTTGTCACCAAAACAATTATTTTACTGCCCCAAAAGCTTGCAGCAAATGAATGGTGGAAGCCAGATAATTGAAGTCACTGATGAGCTCCCAGAAGGGATACTTCAAGCACAGTCAGAGGAATGCAGGTTGCATTTTACTTTCTCGCTCTTAAAAGGCTTTTAAGAAGACGTTAGGTAATGCTGTGGGAAAAAGCTGTGAATTTTCAGCAGAAAAAACTCTTATTGCCAGGACCACATAACAAAGAAGTAGATAAATCCAGTTGCTAAATTTAGAAGAAAAAATCCTTTACCACGTGATGTGGCCAGAATCCCTGATTTGTGAGTACTTGATACCAAAAAATCACTTGATGGCAAAATGTCTGTCTGTGAGCAAACTGCTCTAGTGGCTAAACTGTTCTACTGATTTTCTTCAAAATCAATATTCTGTAATTGATTTGGCTGATGCCCCTGGAATTTGAAACCAATATTTTAATTTTGGGGGTACTTTACACAAAGTCTTTGGGACATTTTCAAAAAAATTAATCCATCATTTTTTGATTAAATTTTGTTGCTGAATAGCATAGAAGATGGTGCAGATCTCATGTTCGTTAAAATCCTTGATTTTTCGAAAATCGAAAAAGTCCCACATTTTTTGGTGTCTTCCAACAACTATAATTGTGAAGATTAATTTTTTTCTTAATGAAATGGGTTAACCAAAAACAGATCTTCAAATAAGGTCAGGTCCAATTTTTTGAAAATTTTAGTATTTTTTTATAGTTTTGCAACAAAGTCCCCAGCTTTAAATTTCCAGCACATCGTGAAGGTAATTTGAGAAGTGCTTGGACACAGTTGCATATTTTGAAAATCCGTCTCATTGTTTACTTTAATATTAATTAACTTAATATTACAAATTCTAGAAAACTTAATTTCGCATATCTTAGAACATTAGGTTCAAAACCTTATCGCTATATTAAGTTGCAAAGTAAATGCATCCGTATGCATTACAAATATAGCAATTAAGTACATGCTTCCTGGTTTGCTTGAAGATTATATTATCGAAACATGAATTTTTAATATTTATTGCTTTCAGGAACTAATGTGGAAGAGAAATAATATTCTTATGAAAGAAAATTGATTGAAAGAAGGTAATAAATTTAACTTAGAACTAAAAAACATACTTCTTTACTTCAAGAAAATTTTATCGCTGATTATGGAATGTTTCATTTGTAAAAGTTGGAAATGACTAGTGTTTCTTGCTATCGAAATAAATGCAGGTTTGCAGCACAGGCACTTCATTTCAATTGATTGGATTTGGATTATAATGGCATTATTTCCAATACTTTACATGAAAGAACTAGTGGTGCTACAGAATGGCACAGTCTTTACCGTATTAGTTTTCTATTTCCTTGGTCAACAAAATCTATATAAAGGAAAAATCTCTATCTTATATTTTGTAGTTCTAGGAAGATGCAGAAGAAATTTAAACTTTTGCAGTTTTCGAAAATTGAGAAATAACAGTGAAAATCTGACCTATACCACGTTTACAAGCGTATTTTTCTTTATTCTTACAAGAAATTTAAAGAAAAAATTTGTAGCCGTTTTTGAGATAATTTTGAAAATGTCCGAGGGGCTTCATTCACCCAAAATTCACCCATTCATTCAAAAGCACCCTCGAGGTTTGAAGAACGGTTTTCAAAATCACGGCCCTTCGAGGTGAGCCAGATCGACTGGGGAATTTCCATTTTAGAAAACTTGTGCGGATGTTCTAAACGCTAATGGTGTTCACAGCCGGACGGACATGTTGAAGAAAAAGCTTTTTCGGGATCAGCTCCAAAACGAGTATTTCCATTGAAATCTCCGAAGCATTACATAACTTTCCCTACACAACTTATATTACTCCATATATACGGGAAAGTAAAAATTGAAAAACTTGAGTTCCATTAATTTGTACCAACATTTTAACTTTGATTGTATATTACCGCCAACTCTGCCTAGGAGAAACAATTCAGCGACGAATATTTGAAAAGATCATTGTTGATCGGCGACAAGATAAGATTACGAAAATGTTAATTTTTTTATAATTATTCTCTTTATTGAACATTGACATGGAACCATTATGAAGTTTTGTTTTATTTATTTATATTTTGTATTTAATGTCAAAAACCAAAACGGAGGGTCGTACTATGGGAAGAAATGTATTCTGTGAAGGTTTTCTTAAATTGTGGTATCCCTACCCTAACCCGTATACATGTTGAATTCTGAATACAGATGGAAACAAACACATTCGCATTAGCAAACACAAGGCATTAGGTCCGGTTACCATGTCCCTCATAGGGACATATTAACCTTTACCCTACACACTTAGGGCCCCTTCCCACGTGTGGCGGGTTCGCGCTGCTGCGTCATGCGACAGGGCACTCTCGCTACACGAAGAGGAGGGCGTACGCGCCACTGCTAGCAGAACATAGCTTTACCCTAAGGGCCCCTTCCCACGTGCAGCGGGCGTCCGCTGCTGCGGCAAGGGGTGGGAGGCTCTCGCTACGCGAAGCGGAGGAGGGCGTACGCGCCACCGCTTGCAGAATATAGCTTTAAATGGTAGTCTACCCACTGCGCCACGGCCGCAGCGCAGAGCTGCTGTTTATACCTGCTGCAGTCCCTTTATCCGTCGTCGCCGGAGGGTCGGCGAAGAGCCCTGCCGATTGACGGACGCGCGCTGCCGTGGCGGCGTGGGAAGGCGCTCTTAGGACCCCTTCCCACGGCGCGCTTCGCAGCAGCGCGGCGCGTAGCAGAGCATTGGTTTGAGTGGAGGCCTTCCCACGTGCAGCGGGTGGCGGCTGCTGCGGCAGCCGACGCCGAACTCCAGCTACGCGAAGCGTTGGAGGGGGCACGCGCCACCGCTAGCAGAATACAGCTTTAAATGGGAGCCTTCCCACTGCACCACGGCCGCTGCGTTTTACCTGCTCCGATCCCTTTGTTCGTCGTCGCCGGAGGGTCGACGAAACCTACCCCTCCAGACCCCACCCCCTTCCATGGTGGGCGGCGGTGCGGCCGTGGCTCCGGCGGTGGCTGCGTCGGAAGGGCTCTGCTGCTTGAAGGAAGCGCGCCGCGGTCGCGCCGTGGGAAGGCGCCCTTAAGCCTACCATTTAGGGGCCCTTTCCACGTCGCGACGGCGGCGCGTTTCTGTCAAGCAGCAGAGCCCTTCCGACGCCGCCACCGCTGTAGCCACGGCCGCAACGCCGCCTACCATGGAAGGGGGTGGGTTCTGGAGGGGTAGGTTTCGCCGACCCTCCAACGTCGTCCAACAAAGGGACCGCAGCAGGTAAAACGCAGCGACCGGCGGCACAGTGGGACGGCTCTCATTTCAAGCTGTGTTCTGCCAGCGGTGGCGCGTACGCCCTCCTCCGCTTCGCGTGGCGAGATTTCTCCGCCGCTTGCCGCAGCAGCGCCCGCCCGCTGCACGTGGGAAGGTCTCCATTCAAACCAATGCTCTGCTACGAGCCGCGGCGCTCGGAAGCGCACCGCCGTCGCGACGTGGGAAGGGGCCCTAAATGGTAGGCTTCCCACTGCGCCACTGCCGCAGCGCAGAGCTGCTGTTTATTATACCTGCTGCGGTCCCTTTGTTCGTCGTCGACTAAGAGCCCTGCGGCTTGATGGACGCGAGCTGCCGTGAGGCGTAGGAAGGCGCCCTAACACGCTGACGGGCTCCTCGGTCTGTATAGTGCGATTTTTTTATACTGGTCGCACGACGTCTCGCAGCGCAGGGTGCGGGAGAGGAGTCTATTGCAACGAGTTAGAAAATACTTCTACAAAGACTGGCTGAAGCGCCTCAATGTTTGCAGCAAAGTTAAACCATGTTTTTTGAAGTCAAAGCAACGTCTTCTGGAGAAACAAGAGAGTAATTATAGTATATATATATATATATATATATATATATATATATATATATATATATATACAGAAACAGAGTATCTAGCATTCTGTTTAGCATTGGTTACGGCCGGGTGAGCGTGGACCGCGCGTTATATAAATCCTTTTGCTCTGTTCCACGACTAAAAACAAATCATTTCAAAACGAAATGACAATATGTTAGGAGAACGAATTGAGAAACTTTAAATACACGTTTGTTTCCTGCATCGGTTACTTCATAAGAATGGTAGCTGTTGGAACGTTATTGCAGGTAGCACAACGCTTGAAAGTGAATGTTATTGCAATAGGAAGCAAGTAAATAGATCACAAAGGCGGCAAACTCGAAAAATGATATACATGTGGTTTGATGAATCCTATTTAAACTGTTATGCCGAATATACCAAAGGCATTGTGAATATTATTAATATGGCCACTAATATAATAAAGATAAACGAAAAGACAACATTTTTATTACACTGAACACGCACGAGTGTGAAATCTCTTTACAGAGAATAAGTCAAAAAAGATTTATTTAACCATGCACTTGACGTAAATCAGCTGTTCATGGTTTCATCCAATCGGGAGCTAGAACGTCACCATAGTGACGTCACTATGGCTTATATGTAGCAACTTATAAGCCCCCGCTTGGATGAAACAGCAACAGCTGATTTACGTCAAGTGCATGAGTAAATAAATCGTACTTAAAGACCATCACGAAGTCGTACAGTTATACAACAATATAACTAGTGGTACTACAAATGGCACAGACTTTCCCGTATTAGTTTTCTATTTCTTTTGGTCTCGGCTAGGTATTCGGACTTGCCACATATTCTTCCCAGATGCCATCTATCGCCGCCTAAAGTACATTTTTTTTTAATTTCTTAATTTTTTGGTTTCCGAAATAATATTTAAAGAATATTCAATCGCAGTATAGCGTATACGTACGTATAT